CCCCTACAATGGAGAATCAAACGGAAAAGAAAATGGAAAATGAAATGGGAACCCTAAGTAGGGGTATATAGGGATATTACCCCAATTAGACTGGAGAATCAAGTGGAAAAGCAAATGGAAAATGAAATGGAAACTGGGACTGTACAGGGGTTTATAGGGATAGGGGGTGTAGGTACCCATTGGGGTAATATTGGGGTTAAATAGGGGCTATATAGCGATTATGGGGGATTATATAGGGGTTATAATGGGATAATGGAAAATGGAAACTACTATTTGGAGTTTAGGGTTTAGGGTTGGATATATAGTCCCCCTTTAATAGATAGAATCTAGTTGTTATAATGGGGTTATATAGGGATTCTATAGGGGCTATATAGGGATTATGGGGGATTATATAGGGGTTATATAGGAAGAATGGAAAATGAAATGGAAACTACTATATAGTATAGGGACTTTCCGCTGTGATCTGGAAAAGCAATTCCCTTCAACAGACCCTGCCAAGAGAATCTTGCCGAGAAGCGTAGGCACATGCTACAACATATGGACGATCGCTAGATAGCACCGTGCCGTCGCCCATGGGTGGCAAGAAGTACAGAACGTACCTCGCACCGGTCCAGACCCGCACCGAGCTGAGCCGTCTTCAGTTCTGAGACCCCGACGCAATTCCGGCAACGAAGGAGGTGGTATGAGCCCAGAGGCCAGCCAAATCCTTCTGCGAGATTCCTCGTACAAACCTCATACAAGCACCATCACAGCAGTCTTGTAATGGGCAGATTCTGGGTTGCTGTTAAGGAACTTAAATTAAGTTACTATATTGGGGAAACCCTACTATTTACTATATATACCCATTATGGTAACTTAATTTAAGTTCCTTAATCCCTATGTTCCCCCAGTTTCCATTTCATTTTCCATTTTCTTTTCCATTTGATTCTCCATTTTAGGGGGATAATATCCCTAAACCCTAAACCCTATAACCCTAAACACATTATGGTAACTAAATTTAAGTTCCTTAACAGCAACCCAGGATGTGGGAGCCGAGGAGGTCACTCCATCGCTATGTGGAAGCCAACGAAGATCAAGCGGAGCCAGACCCAGTTCTGCACAAGCACAAGAATCGCAAATCACTCACTATGCTGAACCCCCAGTGAGAGTCGCTGATATTGCCTCCCAGATGCTTTCACCGGTTTAATGGAAAAAAAGAGCTACAGTCTAAACTCCAAATATCTCCCTGAATAACTCTTATAACAGTCCCCTAAATAAGCCCCTATATACCCCCCCCTTTTGAGGAGTTTCGTCTCTAGCTCGTAGGGGCTCCTGTTCCAAAGGTTGATAGTGGTCTACACTCCTCAAACGAGGGTTATATAGGGGATCACATATGGGGTGTAGGGTTTAGGGTTATATCGTGAACTATATAAGGGATTATTACAGGGGATTTTCAGAGGAATGCTCGGAGCTTAGACCCTGAACAAGGGGGATGCTAGGAGTTCAGATTAGTGTCCAGGTTGCAGACAAGTCGGCTTCGAAAGTAGCACCAGTGCGAGTTGTCACACGAATTTACTGGAGCGGCCTCATGAAATCGTTGCGGGTGGTGAGTGCATGACAACATGTGTTTGTACGCCCCCACGAGAGACTTGACGAGTCAATTCCTTCACTATCCCTTATTTTGCTTGCATGTTGGGTCAACGTTGAGGCCGAACTAAGAGAAGACGTACTTAGAAAGAGTGCTTGCAGTGTTTGACACCTCAGGGGCTTTGCGCTCGATCCATGTTCTTTTTTCATTATCCCTATATAGCCCCTATGTTACCCCTATATATTACCCCTACATAATCCATATATCACCCCTATATAATCCACGTAATACCCCTAAAACCCTAAACCCCAAACCCTAAACCCCAAACCCTGTGCGCCCCAGGAAGTCCCAGCAAAGAGAGGTGCGCCTCGAAGTTTCGCTGCACACTGGTCGTGGAGTCCAGAGCAGCGCCTCCACACAGGTTTTAGGGTTTAGGGTTTGGTGATTTCCCAAAATTAGAGTAATATAAGGATTAGATAGGGTACTATCGGGATAATATAGGGATATAGGGATAAATAAGTATGAAATTAAGGATTATATGGGGGTAATATAGGGGGTCATGATCATGGAAAAGAAAATGGAAACGACCATTTACTGTAGGGTTTAGGGTCCCCCTATATTGGGAAACCACCACTTGCAGGTTGAGGGTAATGAGAAGTGGTTCTGGGACTCGGGGTGCATCATGGGGCTGAAGCTAACAATAGCAACTTTTGGACAAAGTCAATCTGCAGATGGGGCTGGGTTTTCTATACTTAGGGAACACACTCAACTCGGAGTAGTGTGCAGTTCACCACTTGCACTTGTGCTGCTTGCATTTTTAAGAGGCGGCGCTAGTCTACCCATAGTCGCCCTTAAGTAGATAGAATATGGCTTTGGGTATGTTACAATAAGATCCCCATATATCCCATATTCTATCTACTTGAGGGGGACTATTTATCACCTCATGCACCAAAACAGCTCTGCTCGGGGCGTGCCTGCATAGAGGGCGTAGAGGGCCACAATAGCCCCTGAGAGGCCGAAGCCCAACGTAGACGCACCTGCCGGAAGGGCAAGAGGTTGGGCAGCTTGGATGGGATCTATAGTCCCATTAAGTAGATAGAATATGACTTTGGGTATATTATAATAAGATCCCCATATACCCCATATTCTATCTACTTAAGGCGGACTATATCTGTAAATAGTTGCTGCCAAAGTCTTTTGAAGTGCTGTTGTGCAGCTGATGGTGCGAGTTTCTGCGACTTGGCTTGATGCAATGAAGCCTGATAACTACCCTGGAGAGTTGTCGAGGAAGCCAACCCTAAACCCTAAATCCTAAACCCTGATGTAGACCTGCCCAAGCTGCTGCTGGATTATGCTTTTAATGCCTTGATGGGAGCCAGCTCTTGATTCACATTTGCGCGTAGCGCTAGTCCTGCATTGAAGAGGAAGCCTCCAACGAGAAATTTGAATGATTAGTACACAAAAGCATAGTATCTCCCGCTGCTGGTCCACTCGGTTGGCATGATTGGCGAAACATCCTGAAAAGTATACAACTGCCCCGCCTGCGGCACGATGCAAGCAGTCAAATATCAAATGGAAAACAGCTCACGGCGCAGTTCCATGGCGTGTCTAAGTCGCCGTCCTTGCCGTTGTCTTGGTGGCGCCATGGTCGCACTGGCGCCGTCGCTTCCGCTGCGACGCCGTCGTCGCTGCCGCTGTCAGTATGTGTAGCTGAGTTGTAGTTTTTGTTGCAGCAGTAGCAGCAGCGGCAGCGGCAATTGTTATTTTTCTGCTGCTGCCATTGTTGGAGTGTAGTACTAGCAGCAGCAACAGCAACAGCAGGATGAGGAGGCAGAGGAGGAGGAGGAGGAGTAGTAGCAGCAGCAGCGGCAGCA